GTTCTTCATCACTTATTATTTTTCATTACTTTTTACATTTTGCATTATGAGATCTAACAATCTCCCCCTAAGTAATGAAATAACAAAATCTAATCTAATCACATATGAAGAACAGACACTAATCTTGAAGAAACATCAAATTCCAAATTTTCATTGGATGATGAATTTTGTACAAGACTGGAAGCAAATATACATCAAGGCAAAAATAAACAAAATATCCATCTCATCAAGGACTACCCGAGTGTATATCTCTGAAGTGTAAGAATAATCTTCTGTAGTTTATGACAGTTGAGATATCTCGGCACGTGGCTTCTGCCCAGTCTGTCTCTAATATTTTTCTGAAACCATTCAAGTGATTCGGTTGAGTACTTGAAGGCTTCAGACATTCTAAAGAACTTTTTCACCCCAAACTCCGGGTTGAGACAAGACAGAAGTAGAGCGTATCTCCTGCAGGCCCTGGAATTCTTCGTTTGGTGGAGCGCATGATAGCCTCTAAATGCCCAGCCTTAGCGCAATCTCAAAGTCTGTTTTAGCTCTTAGCTTTACCAGGGACTCCATTGTCTTTACTATCGCTCGATTTGCCATTCCAAACCTTATGCCGTGATCCTGCCTCTGAGCTGTGTATGCGTATAATTTGATTAAGTCGTACGGGTTGAGATTAATGAGATCATTTTCGTTGAACACGCTAATGATCCCATGGGCTCTCTCCACGGTGAACTCAATGTATCTGATAGCTCGGTTGGCGAAGGATTTTATCTTTAAGTCTATGACTCTCCTTATTCCTTCATTCGAGAAGACAACTCGAGGATCTTGAGTAGTTTGTCTGACGAAACGATGGTGTAGGGGGTCCATTGATTCAGGCGATAGGATTGGAGGATTTGTTGACAAACTTTCATCGCGATCTTTGTACATATATTGATGGATATTCTCCATCATTACTAGTTCCCTGGGTGGCTCTTGAGGTCTTCTCCTCATCGACTCCATCTGCTGAATAATCTTGTCCACTAGGCCTGTTGGAGGATGCCTCGAGGAAGAGAGAAAATATGCTTGCACTATTGGTTGTGTTTGGGTTGGTTGGGTTGTTTTCGGTTTTTGGGTTTCTGTTGGTTGTTAAGGTGATGAAGGTTGGGTTATTATAGGTTCTGGTTGTTGGGGTGAAGAAGGTTGGGTTGTAGTGGGCTCTGGTTGTATGGGTGAAGAAGGTTGGRTTGTAGTGGGCTCTGGTTGTATGGGTGAAGAAGGTTGGGTTGTTATGGGCTCTAGTTGTATGGGTGAAGAAGGTTGGGTTGTTATGGGCTCTGGTTGTAGAGAGATGATGAAAGGTTGAGTTGTGCGGGGTGTTGGTGAAGGGGTTAAGGGTAGGTTTATATTTGGTGTAAGAGAAACAGGTTGATGTGTTTGTGGGGTGGTTGGTTCTTCATCGGTTGAGGAACTCAACATGATAGGCTCTGGGTTGTAGCCAAGGGAACCTGGATATGCGGTTGATCATCAGAGGGCAAGGCCTCTGGTTTCCTTGTTTGGGTTTCTTGGGGTGATGGTTGGTGTGGTGCTGGTTCCTGTGCTGCAGCGGATGTTGAAGTGTATGCAGCCGCCGCCTCTTTCTCCCCCTCACAAGGGCCAAGGCCTTGATCCTCGGGGTCTTGGTCATCGTGGCATCTTCTTTTGCTCGGGCGGCTGCTTGAGTAAGAGGCTTGGGACCTCTTCTTCTTCTTTTCCCTCCTAAGGGATGTAAGATACTCCCTCAGGGCTGCCTTTCTGCTGGTCTCCTTCACTGAACGGAGGAGAGATGATGTACGTCGTTGTTCATCGACCATCGTTTGAGTGAGAGCGCTTGTTGGTTGGATGGCTTGATGAACAAACTTTGCACTGATCTCGTTGAAAGAGAAGACCAGTGCTCTTGATAATGCTTGCATGTCTGCCTTTGTGGCAAACTTGGTGGTGGAGGTGGAGGCTGTAGGTTGTGATGGGATGGTGGAGGTTGAAGTTGGTGGGGTAATGGGGAGCTTGGCTATTAGATCTCTCACCTCTGCAGTGAAGAAAGAGAAGGCTTCATTGAATGAGGGGCCTGTAGAGGGAGGAGGTGGTTGAGGGGTGGGTTGGGGTATTTGGGCAAGGATGGCAGCGTGTAGTTGGGTGAGAGTGTCTTGGATGGTTGTCATTTGGTGGGTGAGGGTGGTGAGGGTTTCATCGATTGATGTGGAAGGTTGGGAAGGTTGGGGAATTTGAGAGGTGATGGAGGATGGTGGTTGATGAAGATGGCGTG